CGACTCGAAACCCATTTGTTTCGAATCGAGCGAGAAAAGATGTGTAAAACGAATGATATTGCGTTTCAGGCGTAGCCAACGATAGCGTTAATACTGCGATTTTCATCTTACAGGAGTTCGGTGGATTTGCTCCGGCTAAACTGTGATGAATTAATTTAAATAAAAACTTTAATTTACTGATAATTAGAGGGCGGGCACGTTTGACTAGAGCACTCTAGTTTTAGAACTTTGTTTGCATTTTCCAGCCGTACTGAGTTTATCAAATACTGTCTATAGTTTACGCGAGTAGTACACATTTAAATAAAACACTTTAACGGTTTAAAACGCGATATATATATAAAAATAATAAAAAAATGATTATATCTAGATGTAAAGTTTTATCTTTAAAATTATGTTAATAGTGAAAATATTGTTAGTGTTTTGTTTTTTTGGAGTAAATACATAATTTAAAAATAACGACGAAGTTTTTTTTTCTTTTGCTCATATTAATTTAAGCATAGGATTTCTTTCATTTATGATTCTTATTGTTAATAATTATAGTTAAATAATAACGGACGTTCATTTTGTGTGGACGTGTGGGACGGGACAGAAAAATTTCTCTGAACGTTTAAAATTTTAATACTGGAAAATAGATGAACGAAACTGTTTATTATGTTTCTGATGGTAGTAGTAGTAGTATTTTTTAACATTTAGATAGTGAAGATATAATGTTTACTGACTGTGTCATTATGTAATTTAAAACGTATAAATATATAAAATAAAGTTAAATCTATTTAAATTATACTTGACTTCAATATGAACTGGTATCCGTTCCGTGTTGGTGCTCTAACCAATTGACTTAATTTTTATATAAATATTAATTTTTTTATTAAAGTTTTCACACTTGCCATTTTAATTATATAATATTTTTAATGAGATATAATCAATCCCTTGTTCTTTTCTTAACCTTGACGTCACGTGAGTACTTTCCACTTCATGTGAGTAAATTGGGTTTTCAATTTTCGCGAGTAAGTACCAACTCGTCGGTTCCGTACGAAAGGACAAAATTGAACGCGAGTGGAATTTATCGTATCTCCTCACAATTGCTTTCGCGAATATTTCCTTTGTAGCAGGTGAATATTTTTCATAGACTCGAATTCTGGAGATTTTTTTCTGCTAGGTCAGTAAATTGAAAATAAGTAAATTGGTCATTTAAAAAAGAGTGAACGTATGAAACAATTTTAATTTAAATAAATAAATAAAAATTGTCATTACGGCGCATAATATCATAACTAGATTTTTTTATACTGACCATTTTGTTCGAACATTTGATGACGTTAATTTATCGAATTTTATTTTCGAAAATACAATTTCCGCGCACACTGTGTAAGGCGGCATTGGAAAAGCTACATTTTGTAATAGTTGGGTGGTAGGAAAGGGAGATGAAAAAGCCGTTTAATCGCGTTTCAGTTTCAGTCTGTAAATTTCCGAGTATTCAAAGCCAAAATAGGCCGTAAGCGCTTGTATATCATAAAAAAATCAACAAAAACTTTTCCAAAGTTCTATACATTACGAGTATCGATTAATCAATGACTGCACACAATATTTTAATTAGAACATGTAGGTATCTATATACACCAGTGATTTGTCTCCTGATTATAAAATTAAACGATGGTAGCACTAGATCAATTAATATATCATAACTATGTACATTAAGTTGTTAAAAATAGCTTGTAATGACATAAATATGTACTATTTATATAAAACATTAAATAAAACACTTTAACGGTCTAAAACGCGATATATATCAGTTAAACTTATTTAAAAATTATTGTTACTATGGCCCGACGTTTCGGGTGCTTTGCAGCAGCCGTGGTCACGGGAGACTCCCGTAGTTGAAATAAGTTTAACTGAAATATTTCGTGTTTTAACCCAATAAAGTGTTTAATATCATATGTAATATTCGCGTAGTAAACATTTGACAATAATATTGTCTTGTCAAAAACAGCGATGTATGAGGGCAAAATTGCTCAAATGAAATCCAAAAGCCAGACGCCTATACACATAGCAAATAACCTCTTCTTTTTATGATTCCCTTTTCAGCCTTCACCATCAGCGTCGTCGTTACCATCACTCGCGAATAAGGCCAGGTCACGGCGAATAAGCATCGTTAAACTGCCGCAAAACCCAGCTCTTTACGGCCCTATTACGGCTGAATCGTAAAATATCGCCAATATAGTTCACACTTAGCTTTTAACCATCATGTACTATATTGTTTCGAATAAAACGGAGTATGGTAATGAAAAACAGCTTGATCAATGCTGAAAATCGAATATTGTAAAGCTGAAGAATTTTTGACGCGCTAATCTCAGAAACTGTAAGATGAAATTGAAAAAATATTTTTATGTTGATTTGAACATTTATCGAGAAAGGCTCGAAGGTTATAAAACTTCAGGCTACGTGAGAAACAACAGTGGAATAAACAGTGAAAATTATTCAAGTTTAAGGGATAGCGGTGCAAAAACGGTTCTAGGCCCCGAGAAAATTTGTAAAAAGAATCACTTTTCTTTAAATAATCTCTCATCTAATAAACTCATAAGAACCGTTTTTATGTTAATCAAATTTCGTGGAAATACTTGCCACATGTACCAAAATAAAGTTTGCCAGGTCAGCTAGTTCTTGGTGTGTCACCTGGTCTTATCAATCTGTAGGCGCTTGGGTAAACTAATTTAATGTATTACATGTCACCATAAACTTCTACGTCATATAAGTCGTTTAATGAACAAATTAAATTTAACTGAAGATCGTGAATGGTTTAGGGGGGGGAAAGGGCCCCCCCACCAAAAAACTGGGAAGAAAAAAAATTTTCAGGGGGACAATCCAAAACAAGGAACTGCACTAATACTAAAGAGTTTATTTGCTAATTATCACCATTATGCTCTAGAACTAAATATTGTAACAATATACTAAACAAATAGAATTAGTAATGATAACCGTTGACTAAGCGTGCTCTTCAAGGCACGGAGATGATGACATATTCTATTTTCGAATCTGTGGATGGTCCTCAAGTATAAAAATAGGTTGGGAACCATCCTCAAGTTTGAAAATAAGTTGAGGACCATGCCCAAGTCTGAAAATAGAATTAGTTAGAAATTTTCTTTGCAAAATAACAACTGTACTTTTAACAGTACTATCACTCATGCATCATTCAACTGAATCACCAATGACATTATAAACTATGGCAAAACGAGAAACCGACGTACATTTCAGCAGTTAGCAACATCCACCGCAGGCGAACTAGTCAAATGTTTAGGTAATTCAAATTGAAACACGACCGCGAAACTCGTCATACGACGGAACGTTACGCAACTTTAATTTCATTTTGACGAAATTTCGCCGGATTTTAATTGAGTTTGCGCTCGTAAACTCCGATATAACGCGGCGCGGTTTGTTAGCCGCCTAAACGTCTTTATGTACGCGTTCGAGGAGATGAAAAACTCTGATACCGCATGTGAAATACGAGGAATTTTCCCGTTAAGGAGAAAATTGTGAAGTAGAGATACGAAGATTTTTTTTATGATCGAAAGGAACAGATGAGCATGGGGTTCCCTTGAAGGTAGTTAAAATACCTTAGCCATATAACACCTATATCGAGATCATTGATGTGATGTATTTGTCCCTGATACAACTATACTATACTTATAGTATAGTCGTATACATTTAATAAACATTTCTATGAAACGACGTTTAGAGATCGCAGCCTTGATTAAAGTCATATTTATACTACTCGTTCAAACCACAAATAAGTCTGTACTAAATAAATAAAACCCTATAAAAATTAGTTTAGCAACTTGGGTTTTTATCATCTACTGATAATAACCAGTCGTGATGGCAAAATGTCGTGAAACAAGAGCCATGAGTAACAAGATGGCCACAGAAGATACAAAAAACAAGATGGCCGCGACGCTTTATACGATTAAAAAAAAATACCTTATTTTGTGACAGTACGCCAACAACCGACGGAAATCATCTGGTGATAAAACTTTTTAAAGATATGGCTTGCAGTCCAAATTGTAATGATTTAATGACACACAGCACTGGCGCCGCGGTGCGATAAACTCATTTTACGAGCTCCCAGTTGCTGGCGACGGTTTAATTATAAATTAAGTGGATTTCTGCCTGAAAAGCTCTTTGACGCTTGGAATTGAAAAAGTAAACCACCTTAAGCCACTTTCCCATTATGCCAATGAATGTTTATGGTGAAATTTTTCGGATAAACTAGCTATACGAGGCTTCCGTTAACTCACAATATATAAAACCTGTTTTAAAAAGTTACCACACTTCTTACGGAAGAGTTCACGGCTATTCTTTCTAGATATCAACTTTGAATATGTTATGACTTCTGTCCGGGATCAGTATATAAGTTGTAGAATTCAAAACCATGAATTGATATATGATATATCTATATTAACAATCAAAACCGTTTAACACAACATCGCAGTGACTTTCCTCCAGGGATACCCTACGCTTGAGATATGAAGCTGAATACAAAATGATGATTTTTAAAATAGCTGGAAGTTGAAAAAACGTGATCTCAATGCTCCTTCTAAAGCACAAAAGGCTGGTGGTCTGTTTAGTGGTTCTGTTTAACTCGCGTCTCTGGTAGGCTTGGTACTACCACATTGAACGTAGATTGTTGCACGATTTACTATTTCAGGTCTCAAATGCGATCTGGGCGTGCATGTATTCAACATCAGTAAACTTAACTTACTATACTTGTGATAGTACGAACTTACCTTTACTCGAACCGTCGGGCCCCCGCAGTATAGAACACTCTTCTATCGTACCAAATGGCGTAAACAATTGGCGCACATCTTCCTCCGTCTGTTGTTTGCTTAGCATCCCCACGAACAACTTGCGATCTGCGATGGAAACACACGCCTTAATCAATGCCTCTCGCCTTGGTGCAACACTGATGGCCAGGAAACGCTAATAAAAATTGAGATGTGTGTCTTTGCTGAATGGGGTACATTCCCTTAACTTTGATTAACGTTTCTGCTAGCCATGAGCCACACCACATAAGCCTAGCGGTGTTGCGTGGCGCGGCGGTATACCGGACCAGGCCAATTAAACCCCAGATTGACAATTTTGGCGGTTATCGGAGCGTGACGGACAAATATAACCCTAGCAAGATTTGGTTCAGGGCGGAACCACAAGAGCAGTAAGATTTAGGCAAAAATTAACAGCGGTTTCTATAGTAACATTTCGTTGAATAAAACAGATTTAACGGTTTTAAACTCGTATAATTAAAACACTTTGACGGTTTAAAACGCGATATATATTAGTTAAACTTATTTGACAATAATTTTAACTACGATCTGACGGTTTCGCTTTGCAACAACCGTGGTCACGGGTTGACTAAAGATGGAGGATGTCTCTGACGTCAAGGTATAAACTGCTACGCTAGCGCCATCTGTCCCGAAGTGTGGCGAAACTGGTTTAAAACCTGCCTGAGGTTTTGATATGCTTTACAATGGATGTTCCAATATTATGTATTATTGGGAAGATTTGCGTACACAGAAGATATAGCAAAGTATTTATTTCACAAAGTTGAACAGCATTTTCACGTAGCAAGAATTCTGAATAGTTTATAATGAAATTCCGTATGTGAACGTGTTAATAAATGGAATAGTTCAGAGCTATTTGAAAACTGTGCTATCAGACAATTTCTTAATGCTCTTGTGATAACAGCGCCCTGTCAGTCGCCGCCGCCCCGACACGCGACCGCATTCCACCATTACGCCTCCACCACACAGGATAATCCCACGAGCGTCACGAATCGACACGATACATTGCATCGTAAACCAGCAAATCGGGACGAATTTTCTAACTTAGTACGCAATGTATCGTGTGCTCCGCGATCGGATCAGATTGCGCCCTGTGAGATTCAGGCCTTGGCGAAAGAACAACCACAGCCTTCTATAAAACACAGATTACACACAGTTTTAGTCAAAATGAAACAACGAACAAAATTCAAACCCAGACCAACACATAATTAGCACATTACACTAAAATGGTCTCCTCGACGTCGAGGCTTTCGTAGTGCGACAATTATTTCCAATTTGACTGTTTAAAAAACATTGTTTCCGTTCGCTTGCACTACGAAACTCTCGATCGATTGAATAGCTTACAGTAACAATTTTGACGACTGAGTATTGAGAAATGCTTCCTTCAATAAGCCACCCATGTACGATATGCCCTTAACACCATACACGCCATATACATTACAACATTTGACAGCTGTAATGTAAAAAGCGATGCAGTTCGTGTAAACAAATCGTACTGGACAACCCGTTTGATGTGCCTTAACACCCGAGCGCGATACCCAATACGTTATAGCTCTAATAGCGGCAAATTTTGTACGTGTTACATTGGCTCTTTACAGAAATCAACGTTATTTTTATATAAATAAACGACAAAATAACAATAAAACACTAATTACTTCTCGAAAATGAATACGAAAACAAAATTACTGTTACAGCACGACGATAACTAAGTGCAGAGTGAGAATGTACGTTCGATGTCGAATCTAGTCGAGTTGGAGGCTAGATCGCCTAGAAATAGTGTTGAAGAGTGAAGAAAATATAAAATAGCTTGTAAAATAAACAAAGGTCTTCTAAATTAGGTAAGCCTTACTTTCAAAGTTTTAAAACGAAACACAACAAACATAAAATGCAAGGGGAAAGTATAAGGATTTTACCACATTTTAATTTACTTCAAGTACGGCTTTCGTAAGAATCGTCATAAATGTTAATTTTTATCTCTACCGTCAGTATTATAAAGGGATCAGTAGAAATTACCAGACTCTAATATTTATTGTTCTACCTCAAAATGGGGTTTGTAGATGATAGCCAATTTTATATTAATACTGTCATAATTGAAAAAATATTTTAGATTGAATAAATTGATGCCACTGAATTGAACTCATGAGCACTTTCGCCACATTGTTTCTTTGCCAACTGAATTATTGATTTCAATCTAGCATATCTTTTACTTAATCTTGAGGAAATTGGGGAATAGTTAAACAAAAAAGCAAGACCAACTAGATAGATTCGACGTGGAACTCTCTCTCTCTTGCTATCTGACAGTGAACAGAACAGCCTATGCACGCACAACAAACGCTACCTTCATCCACCTATGCTCGTCGCCTTCGTACGCCCCCTGCAAAATAAGAATATGCTTCACACGCTTTCCACCGCTTGACTTAAGCTTCATGGACTCGTCTGGTGAGGTAAGGGTTCAAGAGCGCTGCAGTGGAATTATTAAATGCAACTCTTGTTTGAGACAAGCGTAGCCAGTGTTAAACACTAACGAATGAAACAAGGAATCTTAGAAGGTAATGCTCACTAGCCAAGTCAAAAATGGACATCTAAAATTAATTGAGTCAAGAAGAATCATTGTGAAAATTTCTAAAAACAGGTTTGCAACACGGTGTCCGATAGTGGCCTGAAAGGGGCATTTCCTTTTAGTTCGGTATAATTCCACTGCGGCGCCAACTTCTGTCTGTATTAAAGTATTACCATAAATTTCATATTTCCTTCATTAAAATATAAATGCTGGTAAAATTTTGACGAATTTTGTGTACACTTTATGTTAGTTTTTTTTTTGTTTTATTTATATTATGTTCTTTGGGTGACTGGTTAACGAAAATACATAATTTTACATGTTTAAATTAATATGATGCCATGCGTAGTTTTAATTATATGCCTAACGTAACTCATGAGGGAATTGAAAATATCAAATTATTTTAACAATAGCGTTCCCGACTATACAATAATTCAAGCGATCGCGCGAAGTATTTCAGTCAATTGTTTAAATAAAACACGTTACTAATAATTGTATCTAATTTATTTAATGTCAAAATTTAAATAATCTATATTATCTATTGATGAGGTATTAATGTCAAAAAGTTGATTATACTAACATTATTTTTCATTGAAATAAAACACTTTAACGCTTTAAAACGCGATATATATTAGTTAAGCTTATTTCAAAATTATTTTAACTACGTGAAGACAGTCTCCCCACGTGACCACGTAGTTGCTACAAAGCATTCGAAACATCGGGCCGAACTTAATAATTTACAAATCCGTTTAACTTATATATGTCGCGTTTGAAACCGTTAAAGTGTTTTATTTAAATGTGTACTAGTCGCGTAAACTACAGACAGTATTTAGTGTTGTTTATATCGAAAGAGGACGGACAAGTGTAAGGTTCATTTGATATCATGTGACTACTCCAGCCGTATAATGTCTAAGCAAGATGTGCTGTCGACCCATTTTTACTTTAGATAGTAATCCACACTGACTGTTTGTGTTTGTGATTCGGGCAGAAAATAAATATTTCTACCATTTAAAGCCCGATTCTTCCAGAAGTATCTGAAACATTATCATTTTATTTCTTTTAAAAATGATGATTACATTTTCTATGGGTTGTATTGGGTCAACAGGCTTGTGAAATATAAGTTCTAAGCATCGTTTTATACCTATAATGTATTCAAAATAGGTCGATGCCTAAGTATAACCTTTATAGCTACACGAGTAGTTACAAATATCTAGCTATAGAAAAGGTCGAAGGGCGTCTACGTTGTAACTTACTTTGTGTCAATTAATATTTTAGATGGCTATCATATCAACGTCACACCATTAGTATGTTAACGTGATGTATTGATTAAATTTCATAAAATTGACACAAAAAAAAACTAGCACTCAAGTCCGTATATTTATATACTTTTTGAAAATCTGTTTTAGGTCAACGCATGACCTGATAAGCTAAGTAAGATCCTATTGTACCAACTAGTAACATTTGTATACTGTTGAGAGTAAGTTATGGTATTTTTTATATAACATAGTAATCTAAGACATATTTCGAAATAAGTTTTATATGTTGTATGTACTTCTCTGTGCTCTGTATTCATTTACTTATTTAATTAATATACTGTTTCTCAATCTATCTAGCAATATATAGTGATCTGTCTTACTATTATTATTATTAATAATTAACATATAATATATTACTATTATAACGCAACAATAATTATTATTCATATAATTGTGGTTTTAAATATCACAAAACACAACGATTTTCGATGTCTCTTCTTGGCCTTGGCCGCTATAATATGTGGACAATTCATGAAATGAAAATATTGTAGTTAGATTTGTCCGGGGCGCACGAAGCATGTGTCCAACGTTGAACAATATCTGGCCAGGGCGGTGCCGGTCATTAAATTCAGATTTATGCCCGCTACCGGGATATCTCTCCCGGGCGACTCCGCTAATGACCGGCTAAATTGTGATAATTTCCAACAGGGTTGTAACAAAAAGTAATCAAAGTATTAACGAAAACTTATACTTCTGAATTCCTTGTTGAGCTAAGTCTATAATCACCTCGATGTATATAGGTACTTTGACTAACATTAATCGATCAATTTATTAATCTAGTAAATATCGCATAAAATAGAACCAGTTTTAATAAAGGCAACTACAACTATGTTACAATGTCAACGGTAAAAATTCGTCCGTTTATACTGGTTCCATTTTTAAATCACCCGTATTCGAAATATTCTACTCGGTACGTCAGATTGTCTATAGAAAGTGGAAAAAATGTATCAGCCCTATACCACAAGTTACTAATAACGCTCTGAGCGTCGCCGGTTTAGTGCCGAATGGAAATATATTTTGATTAGCAAGTTATGTTAAGATAATAATTTAGTAGTACATATTGCAATGATAACTGGCCGGAGCCTAGAATGAGTATGGCTTGATGACAAGTCGTTGTTAAACTCGGTAATACGCTGAGTGGAATCAAGATTAAAATTGGATTTCAATAATGTTAAAATAGGTTTTGTCGTAAGCTTTAGTCTTTAGAAGAGTTAAGAAAAACACATTTATTAAATTAAAGGAATTTAAAATTTTGGTTTCTAACATAAAATACTGTCAGTAGTTTACGCGAGTAGGTCATGAAATAAAACACTTTATGGTCGTATTTGATATACATTTTGAGCAATAACATATCTCTCGTTTTAAACCGTTTAATTATTTAAATTCGTTTGTAACATTCAACATAAGTGTTCTCCTTCGTTGCTTATTAAAATGACCTTCCTTTAATTGTTGCACTATTTATAAGTTACTTTTAGATTAAATTGTTTGTCATAAGTGGCGGGGTTAATACTGCCTACTACACTCTCATTAGAACCACCATGTTTCTCCAGAGTGTTTTTCTAGAGGGTCTGTTGATTACCAGCATAAAATTTGTAATGATATAAGCAAGTACAACAGCTTTAGTCTTGGAATATCGAACCTTGGACCGTAGTCTATTAGATATTAGATCACCGAATCGGTTACTAGCGATTCAGTCACAATCTATTCTAATTTGGCCATGAAGGGATAAACAGGCAAGATTACGGTGTACAGTTCGTGTAACAATCATGATTGAATTCTGGGATATATCACGTTGCACTAATTGAAGCGGCTAAATCCGTTCACCTGGACGTCCAAGTTGCTGTCAAATTACTTTAAGATTACTCCTGTTGAGACTGGGCTTATCTTATTCCATTTAACCATAGGGATAGGCAATGGGATGTATTAATAGCGGCTAAATGAAAATCGTATTCGCAGGTCGAAATTAGCAAGCAAAAAAAATGCTTGTTAACTTTTAAATATTTATTTTCTTAATAATGATTGAAAATAGGGCATTATTTTGACAACATTCTTTGAGACAAATCAAAGTTCGATTGCAGTAGCTGTACTGGTGTAGCGGACGGCAATAGTTGTATAAAAATCCATATCTGTCGTGTTTAGTGGCCAAATAAATTACTATGTAAGCTCATTATGTGTAATTTAAAAAGAGAGAGATCATCGCAACATAGCGACCAAAGAGGTAACTTATCAAAGATTATATTTAAATTTCGAACTGGCTTGGAGATAAAAATTACTTTAGCGCGTAAAAACCTATTCGTTCGTCAACTTCGCCATTGGTTTTAAACTTTTGAATGGTACTA